GTAATTCAAACGTCTAGCTTTTTTCAAGCCTGTTTCCATAACCTCAGCTCTGATAATCTGGTTTAGTTTTATTTCCTGAGATAATGAATTATCCATAGTTTTTTATGTAGCAATTTATTTTTGATCATAAGTTCCCTCTTTAGACAGAATACATATGACCCGTAAGTAAATCACTGAATTGGTATCTTCAGTAATGTACATAAAATTCAAGTTATATAGGGGTAGATGTACTTGCTTTAACTATATTCTTGATGCTAATATCTGTAGGTTTGGCTGTGAAAAATGGGAGGTCAAATGTTCATTGCTGGAAGACAAAGCTAGTCCCAGATGGTCACAATTTAACTCAGTGACACAAATTACGCAGTCAACAGCAGGAGTGGAGTAACTGCGAGCTTCATTATAAATTAGACATTTACCATATTGCAGTATTTATTCTCAGGCAAAACCTCTGTTAATCTAGAATTAAAATGTAGCTAATTTAATATCAATTCAAATGTTTTGATTTGAAAGACAGGCGTCTGCCAAGGAAGGTGGGAACCTCCCTTGGAATGGAAAATATGACCCCCTTATTTTCAAATTATTTTAACTTTGAATTTACAGGGCTTTTAGGCGAAGATATGGAAAAAAGGAATAACACTTCTTTACTAGAATATACATACATAAATATATATATATAAAATATATATATGTAAAAGAAGGCAGAGAAGCAGCCCCGTGGGGCGGCGCAGCAGCGCAGCAGCAGCACAAACCCACCGCAGCCTCTCTGCGCTGCCGGGCCCTTTCCCCTCGGGCGCAGTTCCGGGCACGGCCAGCAGGGGCGCTGCTGGCTCCCGGCCGGGCAGGGCGGGTGCGATGGCTCCCCGCGGCTGCAGGGGGCGCTGCGGCGCGGCGCGGCCGCCTCTCCACACGGCCATGGCGGCTCGGGCGGGGCAGGGAGAGAGGAGAGAAGCGGCTTTCCTGTGCAAACCCACGGGAAGGAGCGCTCTTGGTGCCCCTCCGGCTCTGGGATGGGCTACAGCAGGGACCTTGGAGCAGCAGGTGGGAATGCTCAGGGTGGCAAACAAAGTGTAGCAAAAGGGTGAGGGGGGTATCGAGTTAAAATGTAGCAAAAAAGTCCTGAAGCAGGGACAGAGAACAGTGCCTCCTGCCTTGGATAGATAGCCACTAGTGGCTGGTCCCGAGCTGGGGCACCGGCACAGAGGGATCAGCCCTGTGGGAGGGTGTCGGAATCTGTGGGTATTGGTGATTCAGAGATTGTAGAAAGTCTCTGTCTTTCTGCCCCGTTGCCAAAGAAGAAGCCATAATTCATCTGTGCTGTTTCCAAGGTTGTTTATTTTTGCTTATCTCTAACATGTCTGTCCTGCAGGGCAGCGTGTGGGGCTCTGCCCCCAGTGGGATGTTACAAACATTATATACCAGAAACTACGTGTACTATATTTACAATAATGTGCCAATATCTGTCATCTACGTTGAACAGTGTGTCCCCAGCCTAAACCAATAGAAAAATGCCAACACTACAGTGAAACATGGAGGGCATGAAGGAGGAAAAGGACAAGACACACCCAATTTCCTCCATCTTGTCCCCTCTGAACCCCTAATCTAGAAACCTAAAATTTTACTTTTGCACCTGTGTCACACTTAATTATTACTCTTATCAAACACTCAAAGCTTGTAATTCATCCTGTAAGATTGAAAACTCCTCTCCATGGACAGAGATCACAGACAGTGTCTCTCGGGGCTCTGTCCAGAGGGGTTCCTGACCCCTCCAGGGTCCCAGACCTTCCAGGGCAGCCAGAGGGAAGCCCTGGATTCCCACATCAGGGCTCCCGGCTCTTGGTGCAGCATGCACTGGCGCTGGGCTCCCAAGCAAGCAGAGCAGCAGCGAAGCAAGCTGACAAACCCAGTCACAGTGCTGAAAGAAAAAGAAAATAAACAGTCAAACACCACAGGGCAACAAGACATCCTGTCAGAGGCAGGGTGCAGTCTGGCAGCTGTGTCAAACCCCACCAGAAGGAAGAGCAGCCCCTGGCCCCCAAGCCCTGCAGGATCCCGGGCTGTCCCTCACCCATCAAGATATTCCTGGAGCCAGTGGAGGCAGTGACTATTCTAGATACAAATAAAAACAAAATAAAAAATGGATATGGAATATAAACCATCTCCAAGACGTCAAATTACACAAGTATGTCCTTAAAGCAATTTTAAATCTGAAATGGCTGCTGACAGTCATGTGTTCATAGTTAATGATGGTGCCAATATATGGAAATGATCAAGTGTGGTTTTATATGCTTAGTGAAAGCTTAAACTTAACCCAGAAGGCATTATTATACAGTTTTTCAAAAGGTGCATGAGTCATAATTTATGTAATAAATTATAATTTATCAGAGGTAAGTTTTCATTGTGCTGCTGATATTCTGCACTAGACCCACCCATGTGGCCCTTACCCTAATGCAAAAGTTTCATCTAGTTTGTGCCCTGGGACACCTGTGACAAGTTTCTCTGTAAGACGCAGCTGCCTATTCTACCTAATAGTATTTACAGAGCTGTATGCAGCAGTAAGCTTTAAAAGTTGCAGATGAGGGAATGTCACTGATTTGTAAGTAGTAATGTCTTTTCATGAAGGGTAAGGCCGCAGAAGACCTCAGCAGTCATAGATGCAACAGTGTGAAGACAAGTTAGAAACTTCAAATACTCCCAAACGTGTTGTTTCTGAAAAATAATTATGCATTCTTGCAGGGGGATGGAGGAAGTTGCCCTCAAATTATGAGAGAAACTAGATATTTGAAGTTGTGTCATGCTTTCTAGGGTTCTGGAAATGTTTAAATTATCCACATAATTACCAGTCTGGTCTTACACTTCATTCTGAAGAGTCATTCTCTCTTCACAATTCCTCTACTTAAAAGCTATGATTTATTTAATTGCACTGAGAACTGCCCACACCTCTAGTGTCACTCTGCCCTCTTTCTTACAGTGGTGTCTGTAGCTTTTCTGCTGCAATACTCAGTGAAGCCTAGAGCTGTGGGAGATCAGTGAAAATTATCTGGGATTTAAAGACTGAGAGAAATTCCAGAAAGGAGTGTGTGCATGGTGAGCTTGATAACAGCATTAGGCAGATTCAGCCTGCAAAAAAGACTGCTTGATAAAGGGGGGGGGAAAGCCTGATGTGGAATTAGAGAAGTATCAGGACTTTTAAGATTATGTCTTCACCGCAATTAACATAGACTCTTACAGTTTGTTTCTGCCGTATCTCCTGAGCCTGGCAGCTTGAGTGTTCCAGTGAATGTAGTGCTAGGTCTGACTCTGGAAGTTCCTCTCACTAACAGTGTATCCACTTTAAAGGTAAAACTGCAGCAGTTCCCTTATTACTCAGAGGGCAGACTTTTTTTTTGTTTGTTTGTTTGTTTTTCCCTAATTCATTAGGAGAGACAGATTATATTATTCATTTTGCTGAAATACTCAAAATTATGACTTTTACTAGACATGAGTCTAGTAGACACGAGTAGATCATGTAAGTTGGAGGTACATCGTAATTTAGATGTGGCTGGTAGCATGGCTGAGCTTTGTTCACTTAGATGCCATTCATCCTGTCTGCCTCTGCAAAGAATTGTATGAAGGAATGAAGACATTGGTGAAAGACAGGAAAATAGGATGGGTATTGGGGAATAGAAAAATATAATTGGATACTGGGACTGTAACTCAGCAAAATAGATAAGCAAGAGCCTTAATTTTAAGACTGCTTGGAAGCTGTCCTTACTTGCCAAAGTCATAGAAAATGCTGAATTGGGACTGAACACGATTTAATTTCTAATTTGTAGAAAACTAATGAGAAGAAATTGGAAGTCACTCAATAAATGGCACAAAGGGGAAGTGGAGGGAGTGAAGAGATCTGGAGAATGACTGAAATTAATCAGAATGCATGAAGTTCAGAGGACTGAACAAGTGTCAGTATTGAGTCTTGGTATGCAAAATTTAGAAAGAAATCAGTGGTGAAAGCGCTGAAGGGACTGAAGTATTTATAAAAAAAGAAGGGAGATACAAACAGTACCAGCTGGGAGTAATATGTACATTCCTCTGGCCTGGGTGATGTACTAGGAGATACTTGGTTTCTTTTTTCCCTGTTTTAATCTGAAGGTGCAAAAGATTTTGCTTAATTCCTCTGAAAGACTGAAGGAGGGCTTTATAAAAGGAAGAGTTATGTACAGGGGGTTCCGGTGAGGAGCTGTGCACTACAGGCAAGAGGTAGTGGGTGTGTACATGCTGTCTGAAATGATGTTTGGGAACAATGGTATAAGAGCATATTGCATAATTTGTAAGGGGGGAAAAGATGAAAGAGGGATAGGAGAAGTCCTGCAAAAGAATTGCAGTAGTTTGAACAGTTGAAATTAGGAAGTTTGCAGCGTGCATTTGTGTGGTTTTGAAGTAATTAACTTCCACAGCCCATTGCTGTTCCTCTTTTTGCAAATCAGGCACCTGTTTTTTTTATTGGTGATAACTCTGGTTTGTCATCACTTCCTGGACATCACTGAGGCTAATCAAAACACAGTGTGGGCCACTGATCAATTAAACATTAATGGCCTATTTTGAAAGACTTAGTGAGGTAGCTAATACTCTGTTGGGGAGTTCAGTTGGTAAAATGAGGAGCCTTATGCTCTTTGATATTATTTCCTGACTTTGTCAAATACTTTCTACCTCTAGAATTACAGTGTTTAAAAGAAACACATAAAAATATGGGGGTTTGATGTTCAGATCAGTCACTCAAAGGAATTTTGTACTGTATTACTTGGAGCATGTGGTGGGCAGTCTGTTTTATGCTACTGTTCAAGGAAAAGTTTGTTTTTACTCTTAAAGGCAGGAGCATTTCAGTGGTGTCCATGAAGTTCAGGCATCTGACTTTTTTTTTTTTTTGCAAAAGTAGTGGTAGAATTTTTAGCACCATAAACATTGCTAAAAATGGCAGAAATTAATGTTGAAATTTGACATTATGTGACTCTCTGTTATCACAGTACTGGATACCAGTGTATTTACTATTCACCTGAAAACACAGCCAAGGCAAAAGAAGTTCTCAGCAACATCAGTCATCTGCAACCTCTCATATCAAGCCATGCAGACCTGCTGCTTAGTTCTGCAAGCCAACGTTCTCCAGACAGCTTGAAGAATTCTTTAAAGATGCTTTCAGAAAAAGTAAGATTCAAAACCTCACTGCAATGGAAAATGGAATAAGCAAGTCTCTTTAACTGCTGGGAAGGAAGGGGGGTTTCTGCATAAATTGACTTTTACAGCATCAGGAAATGTTAAATAAACTCAGCTAAAATAAGTATCAAAATGTTGTTATTACAAAAATAATGTTATTTAGCATTTCTGTAGGCTTTCCATGTAGAAAATTATTGAAATCTATAAAGATTGCCTTTATTTAAAATTGTAATTAATTTAATTTCATATATCTTCTTTATCCTCCAGTGGCCACATACTGGAGTTTATTCAAAATATCAAAAATTATAAATAATTTTGTGGCGTGAGAAATCATTATTTTTTACTATCTTTCTATTATATTTCAAGCTGCTGCTTATGGGAGGTGGTTCAAGCCAGGTTGGTGTATAAGGTTTAGAATTACAGCATGATCAGAAATGGTGATGCAGCCTAGAAGGAGAAGCTGGGAAATTTGCTCTAGAAGAGCTCAGATTTTAATTCTCTTTCTCCTTTTATATCCATCTGTAGCTGTAGGCTCTTCTTCATTTTATTTCCTTTTGTTCTAAATTAGAGAAGATAATATTTCCCGCCGGTCTCACAGACTGATAATGGAGATTAGCTGAAGCCTGTAGTACTTCCCAGCATATGTTATCCTATAAAAATATGAAGCGCTATAGCTGCGACCGGAGAGGTTGTGAAGAGTTTTCCATTTCTGCATGGGCCACCCCTTCAGTAACGTAATCCTAGTGTGGCTTAATAACACGATCAATAACCATTTCAATATATTTTCAGCTATTGGGAAGTGACAGCCCTTTTGGTCTGTTGAGCACCATTACCCCAGCAGTTCCTCATTCAATAGTAGAGTTTCAAATCTGAATATTGAGCTCGGCCACTTGCTGTGAAGGCATTGCAGAGGAGCTGTGGGGGAGAGAAACATTGCTCTCAGTTGCAGATGTGTAAATCCACAGTAACTCTGAGAACACTGGAGTCACTGTGAATATCAGGGATAATGGAAGAAAGCAGAATTCAACCTAGAAATGAAACAGAGGAATTTAAGGAGGAGAGTTGTACCAGTTATAATGTACCTTTGCATGTATTAAGGCATTTTTAGCTGTGCATAGAACAAGTGAAGCTGCTCTGTTAGAGGTTGGTTCAAAGAAATCTGTATGCATAGGTAAAGCAAATCAGACAAAGAAGTGTCTGTTCTGAAGATCCAAAGGGAGGTTGCTAAGGAATCTGTGTTTCCTCTGGCCGTTTGCATCTGACAGGAGGAAGGGATAATTTCAGAGAGGCTGCAGGCTGCCATGGTACTAAAGCACTGCTTGAACTATGGCCTGCTGGAGACTGGCTTTAGAAAAGGGCCAAAAAAGACAATTCATTCAGTTTGTAAAAGTCATAGGTATTTTGCATTTATAGCTGGTGACTTAGTTGTGTACGTTCATATCAACTTTTCAGGACCAGGATTAAATTGCTGTTAGTACATGAGCTCAGGTTCCCAGAAGAAGGAGTCCACCCCAGACAGACTCCGTGGATGTGTCTAGCCTTCACCTTTTGCTTGGAAGAGATGAATCCAGTTGTCTTAACAACTGCAGCAGGAGTGGTTCAATACCTGCTTCCCTGTCTATTACCAAATTTACTCTTAGGAAAGATGGCTAATAGAGAAATAGGGTGGATTTCTGAGGATGCAAGTGTGGTGGGACAGCTGCTTGTAAAGAGGGGAAGAGAGATGGGGAGGAAAGACCGAGAAACAACTTCAGGAAAGGGAAATATCATTTCAAAGCACTAAACTCAGTGAACCCACACAATACCGAAATTAGATCCCTCATAGTTAATTCAAAGCCTTATATTGCTGTTCTAAAATATTCTGTCTGTATAGTCTGGTACAGTACTGGAGAACCAAGACTACCAAAGTGTTCCTGCTTATATTTAAGCAGAGTAGCACATACTCTGCTGAATATAATTACATTATACCTACTTGTATTCCTGAGGCATAAGTAGTGCTTCTGCTATTCCATCTTTCCTACATTTTTTATATGTAAAAAATAAATGCTCTTATGTTTTAACTTGATAGAAATTCAGAAATTAAACAGCTGTTTGAAGAAGTCATAAAAGTTATTTGCCTGGTGACTAAATTCTGCATGTTTATTACAAAACATATCACTTGATATATGTAATAATTCTTTCTATAATTATTAGGTAGCAGTGAGTAAATCTGAGTTTTCAATAATGTCAATTACATTTAAGTCTTCATGTTGAAAATGGAAGGACTGGCTGCATGGATTGAAAGTGGAAAATTAAATCAAATCATTCCACTGCTGCTTCTTAAATGGAGCTTATTTTCTCATATTAGGCATGGCTTTACATCTCCATATATAATTTACAATTTACTGTAGTGTTTTCTTGAGACTAACCTTTTATTGTCACTTTTTGTTAATTGATTAAGGAAGCCTTTAGCTATCAACAAGTGTATCAGCATTTGCAGCTTGCAGAAGGCTTGATAAATTCATTTTCCAGCTGTGCCTTTGTTCACAGAAATATTCTTTAGTAGAGTATCTAAAAGAATTTGCAGTTTTTATTTCTTTGTATAGATTGGTTTTCTGTGATTTTGGTGCAATTTCATAAATAGCGGTGTTTTGCAATTTTAGCTGTACTGAGCTGTGAGAAAGTGAGGTTAAAATGTAGACTGCTGTTAAACCAATGGGATCCCTGAATGGAATTTAATTACAGGATCATTTTAGTTTCTGAAAGAAAGAATGGAGTCTCATTTCTGTACTGATTTTCTATAAAAACTAAATTTTTCCTATAAAATGTTTATATTCAATTATATTACTTAAACATTGCAGTCATATATAGTAAACGTGGTGTCCGACTGGCAGGAAGAATGATGTGCTATGACTTCAGTGATTTCAGAAGGCTAATTAATTACTTTCTTATACTATATTATACTAAAACTATATTACACTGTATTACACTAATAATAACTGTATCACTAACTAGAAAACCTGTGGCTCTCTCAGCCAAGTCCCAACACAGCTGTGACCTACTTGGTCAATCAATCCAAAAGATCATCACCAGAATCCAATCAAGCAATCCCCTCGGGTAGACAATCTCCATAACACATTCCACATGTGCACAAACACAGGTGCAGCAAATGAGATAAGAATTGTTTTGATTTTCTTTTCTCTGATTCGCTCACAGCTTCTCTCAGGAGAAATCCTGAGAAAGCTGTGTCTCTCTCTGTTCAGATGGCATGTGAATACCACAGTCATAGTGGGCATTCTTTAGATCAAGTTATCCAATACTCTTAATTTTCTGAAATGTAAATTATTTTTGAGTCTGCCATTCTGAACCAGAGACCTGAAATGATCTCAAACAGACATTGTGGGGAAGATAGGTATGAAACCTCAGCAAAACAATGATATTGCTGTTTTTAAGGATAGGCAAGTAATGGAGTTTCAACTCTCTTGGTAGGAGTGAACTGTAGAAGTCTTGAAGAGGAGCTTTACTCTTACCACACAACCCCTCAAATCTCATTGTGCCATGGTAAGACAAAGAATGGTAGGGTTTGATAGCACTATCCCCCAAAGAATGAATTCATTCTCCAAGCATGCACTATGTGGAGGTTGGAAATGTAGAAAATTGAAATTGTCCTGCAGAGCAATTCAGGACTACGAGGAGACAGTCCTGAGGAGCTGCATAAAAGAAAACTGTTAAAAACACCCTTTCCCTCAGGCACCAAGTTGGTGTGGAGGAGAAGGAATGGGTCTGGTAATATTGCCAGGGAGATGAGTAGTGTTGCCAAATCTAAAGAATCCCAAGTCAGGTCTGCTTTTGGTTTAAAAAAACCAATAATTTCTTAGATATGCCTGAGGTTCTTATTTTTAGAACTGTAGATACTTATTTGCAGTAATATTTTCAGCCTTTCCGTTTGAAACTATTCAGAAAATATTTTTTTCCTAAACATAATGAAAATGGGAAAAAGCAGAAGCTTCTCATTCAAGTACCTAACCCAGCAGCTGGAGCCTTAAGAAAACCATCAATTTTTTAGAGCCTTTTTGTCTTAAATATCCGTAAACTTTTGAGAGGGTATTGAGACAGGAAGGCAAGAAAAAGAAGTTGAGTACTAGTGGATGCATACAAAAGATGAACAGGTAGTATGAAAAAGGGATAGGATAAGAATAGAAGTGCAGAAATTTGGAGAAAACACTTACAGGAGTCTTCTCAGGAATTCCAGGGAGATGCTGACACTTGACACTTGTTCGGTTTGGGGTTTTTTTGCTACTTTTTCTCCAGCTTTTCCATAAGCAGGACATAAGGGCTGAACAGAGCTTGGCTGGGCTACCCTTATTTCTAGCATTTCCTGCTGGTTTAGGCTGGATCCTCTGACTCTTATCTACATATCTTTCCACATCCCTGCTTAATTAAGATTGTGTGCACAAAGGCACTTCAGCACCTGAATCTGCCTACACATGACAATCCACTATGTTCTGGGATAATAAGAAGGGAACTAAATCCAACTGATCTGGGATAAATAAAATTCCACTTACCTGGGATATATAAATTCAGGTAATTGTGCTGTGAAATAAATTTTCATCATCCCCTGTGAACCAGTACTTCTGTTTGGGGCGGGGAGCTCTGGGTGGGATGTGTGGGGTGTTCTATGGTAGCAGGGTGTGCCCTCTCTCCTTGCTCTGACAGATGAACCCTGTTCAATGTTGTTGAAGTAACCAAAATTGGGACTCTTCCAAGCTGTCCCTGTGGCTTTGTTTGTTGTTGCACCCTGTAGTGTCCTTGCACCTCATGTGCTCCTGTTCCATAGGTTCTGGCAGCTGATGGAGGGAATCAGACAAGTCTCCCAAGGGAGACAGGGCACCGTGTTTGAGACAAAGGAGATAGGCACACACCGGTGGCAACAAGAAGTGCTGTTGCAATGGTGACAATCTGGACATGGTGAAGCCCTGCAGGGAGGTTGAAGGATTTTAAAAATACTGTAAAATTCCAATTGTAATAGCCAACATAGAAAAATGGTACAGAGATTGAATACCATCTTCAGAAGACCTGGGAAAACTACTTCAGAGTTTCCTTTCTTTAAAATATACATAAAATCAAGCTTGAAATCAGGCGTTGCCTACCGGGATATCTAGGTTGATACCTACCGGTAATTTGTCTCTGAAAACACTGCTTTTGCAGATACTGCTATTTCAGCAGCATAGAGTGATGGGTTTTATTTAGGGAGATGATTAAACTGGTTAATTGTGTTTTATCTAACACTTATTCAGAAATTATTGTGCTGTGGTTGGTTGCTCTTGGAACTGGTTCTTGTTGAGGCTTGCCTCTGAGGCGAAATTTGGAATTTGAATAAATGTGAAAAGATTATGATCTCTATGACAGATAATGTACTCTTGTGCTAATCCTTATAACACTGGGATTGTAGAATGTGATGATATCTCTTAAACCCTTGAAATTTCCCTCATTATTGGTTGGCCTACTTTGTTTTCTGCCTCCCAGTCAGGCCTGAAACAAATACCTGATCTGCCTAAGAGTAATTCAGTATTATGCACCTTTGCTGCAGTACTGCATTCTTTGGTCTAACCTTTTCATTAGTTTGTTGTTTTTTTTTTTCCTAGACGGAGTTATTTGTGCACACATTCAAGGACCAGCTGGTCAGAAGTGCCCTTTTAGCACTGTACACAGCCCGGCCTGGCTGTGTCCTCAAGAACTCAGCTGTGCCTAGAAAGAGTGTAGAAGAAGGGGCTGATGCACAGCACCAGGATCATCCTTCTCATATTAAAAGACAGGACTCTATACCCCATCATTCTGAGTATGATGAGGAAGAGTGGGTAAGTAGCCAGAAACCCTTGGTCCGTGTTCAATGCAAAACCCTACAAATCAGCAAAAACAAGCTCGAGCTCTGAGTGTCCTTACATGTCATTGCATGGGGGAAAGGGGTGTAAAACGGTAAAACTGTGTTTTTCAGATGCATTCCAGATTTTGAAGCTAAATTTAAAGGATTGTCCTAAGTGCAGTGTGCTGCTCTGAGACTGCCTGGTTATGCATATAACAGTGAAGATGTTGAGAATCTTCTTGCCCAGACAGAAAAATAGTCTTTGTTCTTACTTGGGTTGGTTTTGCTAGTTGGGCAGATTTAAGGAATGAAGCAGCCTATGCTGTTCTGAGGGAAATGTTCTTTTCTTCCCCACCCCGTGCAACAGCCCTCTACAGCCCTCAGGCTGTAACCATTTTAAACACACGTGAATTAACCCTCAGCAAAACAGAGCCCTTTGCCCTTAGACTCTGTTCTTAGAGAGTGTCTGAGGCTGTGTAAAAGAATTAAATACAACTTTTAAATTTTAATATTCTTAGCATATCTTTCAAGGATATATATTATTTATATGGCCGAGAATTTATAAATCAATTATTTTGGTAGATGTCTTCATAATAGATCTGTTACTTTATTTCATACATACTCAAGCTATTTTTATTCAGTCCAGGCTCATACTTTGAATTCATCACTGTATTCTCATAAACGTAAAGGATGCCAGCATATTCATCTCTATTGTAAATAATTAATAACTTGTATGAGCTATGGTATTGCACCTGAACTGTAATTTTTATCCACACCAAAAATAAAGGAAGAATACATTTCTTCTAGAAGAAGGACAATTATTTCCCATTCCAGCCCCATGCATTAAGTAGTCATTAGATTTAAACAATAAATAACTCATTATTTTATTTGTCCTCTGGTTTTAGAGCCTTTAATTCACTTTTTCTTGTTTTCTCAACAACCTGAGGGGCTACGATGGTGACTCGTTCCTTGAAATAAAGCCAAAATGTTTGTTTTCAGCTGTTGAAACATTCAGAAATATAACACAATAGTTTTTGTAAAAGAGAGAAACTTTGCACTGGATAAAGCGGCACTTTAAAGCTGTATTTTAATTTAGTACTGAAATTTACCATCTCTGAAGATAGCTTTGCTGTATTTCGTAACTGATTAAAAAAAAGCTGCCAAGTGTTTGGTCCTCACCTATTAAACTGCATAAGTAGGTTGGTTTAAACAGTATTTATTTTTGTCTGCTGAATTAGTAAGATTATCTTGATTCAAAATTAAGTGCATCTTCCGCTGTTTTCTGAATTGAACTGAGTCATTGTCATTGTCAAACTTGAGGCAGTATAAATTCTGCAGAAATTTTGTGATTTTTTTCTGAATTGAATGATTAGACTTTGGATAGATTTCAGTTATTTCCATCAGTAGAGGTAATAAATAATGTGAGTTTTAATAATCAGTTGTTATTAGCATGATGGAAAGAAAATAAATGCATATAAAATTTGAAAAAAACACTTAATCTACTGTGAAACTCAACTGTAAAGGAAAAATCTTTAATATATGTTGCTTTGTATGCACACTGCTCCTTTCCTGTTGTGGGGTTTTTCCTCAATATTATCAAATACTAATGTTACATTTTGCAGTTGGAAATTTGGTTTTGCCTGAAATCTAAATCCTTAAACAACTCTTTAAGCTGATCCTGCTCCATTCACTTCACATGGCTGTGTTACCTTATGACCATCACAGGAGTATGAAGACTCATCCCAGAGTCACTGGCAGCAGTATGGATTGAGCTATTTATATTGGTGCACTATGCACAGGCAGCAGGAAAGCATCACTGCCAAAGCAAAATATTTAACTTGAGAGTTTTACATTGCCTCTGGAAAGATATTATCTTCTCCTCTCACCAGCACTTCTGCTATCCTAGAACCTTCCTGCAGGAGGGCACATAGTAAGTTTTTGTGTGATACAAGAAGAGGTGGGCAGATTGCTGCTTGGAGCTGACTCTGGTCTGCACTTCTGACTGGTTAATGGGGCTGGACCTACAAAGAGCAGATAAAATGGCATTTCCAATAATCTGTGTACGAATGCTGATGTGGTGATCAGTCATGGGGCTGAAGGACCAATGTGTGTGTGACCCATTCCATGTGCCACAGCACAAGGGAGTGTTAATAATGCACATTACTTAAGATATTTCCTTTATCTCTGAACAGAGCTCAAAAGGACCTTAAGGAAATATCTGAATATCCACTGACATGAAAGAAATACAGTATCTCAGAGCGCTGGGAAGAGCAGGTGCTGTGTCATACATGGCGCAAGTAAAGCACACAACTGCAGTGGTGTATATGGAGAGATAAGAAATAACTGAGGAGCTCTGTGGTGAATTCAGAAAGGCTGAGAATCCTTTAAAAACAAAGAGTCAGCCTCTGGGACTCCACTGGCTGGCAGTGTCTAGAAGGAAGACATACAGTTAGGTGTAATGACAGAAAATAGTATCCATTCCTGCTCTCTGAAATGAGGAAGCTGTCCCGCTTTTTCATGATACTTTCCAATCAGATGGAAAATAATTGCATATTTTTCAGTTGGACGAATGAAAAGAGCATTATTTTACACATTAATTTTTAATTCTCCCAGGAGAAGTGCCCAGCTTTCACTGATGCCAAAGCCTACCTTTCCATGGAGGTCTTTCAGTGTCCATGTCTGCTTGCCACTGCCACAGCATAGAAGTGTGACCCATGGTCATTTTTAACTAGCCACACCTAACTGCATGAGCCAGGGCTCCATAACATTCCAGATGACTTCTGAAGTTTGGGAGAAGTATAAGATGTAAATGTGGCACTGCCTTGTCTCAGTGGGGTCAAGTCCTGTTACAGATTTCCACCTTACCTGTCATTGCCTTGACTTAAAGAAGCAGTAATGAGAGGGAGACAGAGATTGTGTTTCTCTCATTCTTTCATACCACAAACTTACCATCCACATTACTCCAGCAACTAGTTGGAAACCTGTGATCAGGGGAAAAGTATCCTGCTTAGAAAACTAGGGTGTTAGTATTCAATGTATCAAGAAATATTACTCCTGGTCTCCTACTTGACACAAAGGGTTTATAAGAATGCTTACTTAAGAGGCTGCTAGACTGTATTTTCTCCTTTAACCTGGCACATGCTATAAAGTGATCACTTGTGAGGTTGTTCATGGGCAAATTGAAAATAGACTGCTTAAGAAGATGAAAGGTCAGTGGAAAGTGTGCTAGGCTACAGGAAAATATTCTGGAAATAGTGAAGGATGACAATATGAAGTGGATTCATTTCTTCTCATGGAGAATCATAGAAAGCTTCTTTTTTTTCACTGATTAGAAACTGCATTTTTTCTTGAAAATTGTTCCTGCCAAACTGCGGAATTTCAACAGCCTTCTTAGATAAATGTGACTGCCTTTGGTGCAGACAGAATATCATCTCAATGAATGATAGACACCTCTACACTTTCTATCTGCCCACAATCCCAGGAGCCTCCTATGTGGAAAAAAAGAGCTGTGAGATAGGCCCTTGCTCTCTCTCAGCTGTTTGTATATAAAAAAGCTAGATACATGATAATAAGAGTGAGCTTTTTGTCAACAGATGTTTTGCTTCTAACTCCTCAGGGAATGTTTGTGGGGATATTGCATAGACATCATCTCAGTGCTGGCTTAATAGTTGGTTTGAAAAGAGAAAAGTGCTCTTTCTAAAGTGAAAAAAAGGCTCATATTAGTGTTGGTCATGCAATAACTCCAGATGCTCATTAAGAGCTTGATGCTTTTTTGTGTGGAGATTAAGCTCCCTGCAAAGGGGAAAGGGACAAAGGAAAAGGAAATTAGATTGCTGCAGCCTCTTTGAGCAACTTCAGTTGCATATTCCTCAGCAACTTCAGTGACTGGAAGCTCTGAAGCTTGCTGATACTCTCTGGAGGATTCTTCATAGAATCCTTCTCCCCAAAATTATACTTGTGGATGATAAAAATCAGTAGTTTCACACATATTCTAAATGTTTTTTCAGGATTGCTTGAGGTGCATCTAGGAGGAAACTTTTGAAGGAATCTATACTTGCCCTCTGTCTTTTGAATTTTAATTTTATCTAAGTGTATGTGAATATCAAATATTCATGTGTCTAATGTTTTATTTCATGTACTGGTGCAGATATTACCACATGTTGCATTGTACATGCAGCACTTTAAACAGTTGTGGAATAAATGCAGTTCTGCTTGGATGTGACCAACGTCTTGCCTCTTGCAAATTATCAGTATCTTTTTCATAGTATGATTAAAACAGGTGTATCTAGGGAGAAAATAAAACCATTGTTTCTATGTTCACCTATAAACTGGATGCTCACTTGTCCTTAAGGCTGCTCACAGGAATCAGGTTTGGGGAGCTGGAGGAGAGGAACTCTGTTGTACAGATTGGGAAAGTCCATGCTTCTCTCTGTGGGCCCATGTGGTATCTCTTAGTTCAGGATGCCACTTGTCACAGGTTGTGTCCTCAACAGGAGGGAACAGGGAAAGATAGTCAGGCTGAGGTGTGGCATATAGTTGAAAAGAAGCATTAGATTTAAATGTTTGCCTTAGTATTAGTTCTAAATTTGCCTCCACTCAAAATCCAGGGGTTGTCATTTCTATGGAACTATGGTATTTCTCTGAATTCTCAGTTTTCTTTAACTTCTCTCTTGTCATTTTTGCAACTTCATTTTTGTGCCTGAAGACCAGACAAATACATAATGCTTCTGGCACTGTAAAGTACAAAAAGAAGTAGTGATTCCCATTTTTAACCCTCAAGCAAACTCTGGCTGCTCTGCATTATTTTCAGAATGACTCAGCATTGAAACATGTATTTGGAGAGGGGAAGGTGGTTTCTGTGGGTTTGTTATGGTTTGGTTTTAGTCTGATTGCACGTCTTGTCTCATTTCTTGTATGGCTTGGTTTTTTTCCTTCTGCTGCAAAATAGGTGCAAAAGCTTTGATTTCTGCAGAATCCAGCACCTGAAGGACCCTCCCTATATCTCTGTTCCATAACAGCTCTTTCTTAGGCTCCATATGATTTCTTTTGTTCTCTGCTCATACAGAATTTTTTCTACCACTCTATTACTTGTGTAATTCTCTTATAAGCTCAGGTAAGTGTGATAGTTGCAGTTTATGTGAGAGGTGAGAAATGAAACTGAAATGGTGTTACCAAATAAATATGCCATGACAGCAAGTTTCTCATTCTAGTTCTTGAATTTAACATTTACTTCAGCAGAGTAACTGATGTGATAAAATATAGGATATGTTGAATTATCAGAATGAGGTTATTAAGTACTGTGACAAAACTGACATACACAAAGTTTGATTTGGGCAGGATTTGAGTGTGTCTATACTCTTAAGTATCATTTAAATAGAGAAGCTGCTCAGTTCCTTGCTATTAGACCTGAAATTTTGTCTGCCGTTTTATGTTGAGTTTGAAGCACTTGTTCTTCAGTGTCTAAAACCATAAGAGTTTGGGTTCATTTACACTGCAAGTAAAATGTCTATGAAAAAGGCTCAAGTTGGTAATAGGCTGAAGGATGAGAGGAACAGTCATATGCTGACATCTAATATTTCTAGTAATTTGCATGTCTGTCACAACTTCAGGAGTTAATAACTTACTATTGTCTCTATTTTTTTTTTTTTTTTTTTTAATTCTTCAGTAACATGCAGTGATAATTTTGCTCTTTTCAGGACAGGGTGTGGGCCAATGTGGCAAAGAGTTTGAACTGCCTTATTGCCCTGGTGGACAGACTGCTTGAAAAAGACAACATGAGCAGCATTAAAGAGGGTGAAAATGAGCCTTCAGCAGCAGATTGCAAGGTGTTGCATACAGGAGGTAAGCAACCCCCCCTAATTTTCATTTTTGAATCATTGACAAGAGTAAATAAAAATTTACACAGCTACAGAAAAGTCATCTAGAGAAGACTTCATTATATCTTTGATGGTAGTGCTAATGGCAAGGTTTTGCACACTTAAAGGGAGGTTATTTATCAAAGTATAGCTGTAATGTGTGCTCAGACTACTTGCCATGCTCAGTTGTTTGTGCTCAAGTGCAAACCTTTTGAAACCACAATGTTTTCTTTTTGTAGGCTGATGTAATTTAATTTACTTTTGATTTTACTTGCATGTAGTATTTTGAGGAAAAAAACATTAGACTGTGTCTTACCCCACAGAAAACTTGTAAGCAAAGGTGAACATTCTGTATCAGTGTCATTCTCTTGCAAACGCTTCCACTTTTCTGAGGTGATATACTGATTTTTATTTTCTAATTTGATAAAATTCATGTTTACCTGGATATACCTGTCAGCCTCTGTCAAAAGGTTAAGTGGAATAATTCCATGGGATGATGTAAAGAAAATTTTGTTCACGGTGGATCCTTGTCACCTTCTGATCTTCTCCTTCTGATCTTCTTCTGATCTTCTCCTATGGCTTATTCATGTTTGCATTCTTGATGCATAGATAAGACCTGCTTAATAAGTCTGATGAGACTTTGTAGTCTGAAAGTGTATTGCAACAAATGAAACAGATCTTTAGTGACAGTGGTGGTAGTCCTAATGCAAGGAAATCAGAGTTAACCTTTGTGCCACTCTTCAGCTAAATTAAACAACTCCCCATATAAAACAACAAACCAGCACAGCTACTTTATTTTTATGGAGCTTTGTAGAGTTTTGACTTTCTTTTTTTTTTCTCTGTGCATTTTATCCTGTATCTTCCCTTGCATGTTCTCCACAGAATTTAATTACATCATTTTATATAAAGAGTTTTAAATTTATCAGTACTCAGTTGTAATTTCTTTCTTACATAACAAGAATTAAAATTACTTTTTCAGATTTACATCATTTGTGTAGTACTGATGAGTTCTGTGAATTCTGGTAGTATTGATTTTTAATGCAGCTGTAACATCTGCATTTTACCAGTAAGAGGTTTGTGCTGGAGTTCTGGAATCCTTGTTTTCAGGCAAGATGTGTTGGACTTGATTTTGTATAATTAGTCCAGAGAGCAACTTATTCCTTATCTGTTTGGTTCTCTAAGTTTCTGTCTACCAGGCATGTAATGTTAGAGAGGAAGGTGATATAATCTCTGTCCTCTAGTGAAGGCTTGCAGGTGAAAAATATCAACACAGCTTTCTATACTTTTTCTGCCTTCCTCAGAGAAGGTACAAATATTTAACAGTTAGATAGATGTAGTTTTGAACTTGGAAGAAACCTTAGACAGTGAACCCAAGCATGTTCATTGTGATTAAAAGAGAAAAACTGAATATTGTTCTTGTTCCTAACTCCCTCCTCTTCCCCATGTTGCTAACAAGCTTTGGTGCTATTGTTAGAAGTCCAGTATGTCTTACAGAAAAGTTTTGCAGGTAAAGTTTCTCCCAAACTTTCCTCCAAATGACTGCAGTTCATTTGTGTGTGTATGTATTGGCATACATGTTGTGGGTTTTGTCTGTATTTCATAGTTGTGGAACAAAAGCTCTGATTTCCAGACCTCCATCCTCTATCTGAAAAAAAAAAAAGGTATGAATTAGGATAATTATTTTGGAATGCTTTCTGACATGCCTATTTCATGCCAGCATGAACTTTTACATAATTTCCTTCTGTCTCTTCAACCCCCTGAACATCTCCACTGCTATATGCTGTGTTACAGATTTAAGCAGTTCCTTTGAGTCTTTAATTCTAGTGTGCTCATAGCTTTGATTCAGGCTCACGCCCTACACAGGCGAATGGAATACTGACTGGTTAGAATTTTTAGGTCACAAGCCAGAAATAAAAAAGAAAAAAAGGAAAGTTACATCATTTTAAGTACTATAATAAGCAGCCATCAAGTAGAATGAAAGGTAGTTCTTGCTTAGCAATAATGATAACAGTAATGGTTAGAAAATTAGAGATGAGTTTCATCCGGCTGAGAAGTTGTCTTCTGGAGCTAGTGAGCTAAGGACACACAAAATAACCAACTGCTATGGTGCTGGAATAAATTCTTCCTTTTTCCTTCATTTCAGAGCCATCCCTGTTTTGTCAGTGAGAGCAGTCAGTGCTTTTTTCAAGTTGTCGTGAAAGTTCTGTAACACTCCCTCACATGAGAACTGCAGAGATTTGTAGGGCAGACTGCTGTGTTTTCATGTTCTTTTTGAGTAAGACATCATTTTAGGAATGCCTTGGACAGTTTATAGCACTTTCAAGGTCCTATAGAGATGGAGATGTTTTAAAATTGCTTTCTTTTATAGGACTAACTTGAAAGATGGACCTTTCTGAAGAGCTATCCAAGTGTATGCTAAAGTTGGTTCCCTAATGATTTTCAAAACTTTGGGGCCAGATTTTTTTATGCTTGACTTCTCTATGAGAGTGTGGGTTTAGATGTTTTTCTCTGCATCTCCCTCTCTGAAATTTAGCATTAAACCCTAAGGATGCACCTACACAGAGGTTGAGATTCCAAGTTTACAGTTACACATTTGCCCTTAATTCTGCATTGTTTTAAACTTGAAGCTTGGTTGTGAGTTCACAGCATTTTCCTAGATACAAAATCACATGGTGTGCACACATAGCTAAATTTCAGATAAAATTACAGACTTTTGTGCTACTTAAAATTCACAAATGTGACATAAATGGAAAGCTTGCTTATATATTATACATAACTTGAGTGTATTTGAGCATAATGTATTTAATTAATGCAGCAAATATATGGGCACAGATTGATCTTTGAGTCTGAAACTGCTTTAGTTAATCCTCAGAGAAATTGGGCTGCTTTTGTGAGAAGAAAGAATACAGAGTTTTGAACAAAAACGTCACAAATATGCCTTGGAAGTATGGGATGAAATTTTTGCTTATTTAGTGACTCTGACTAGTTTTTTTGTAGCATATAGCAATAAAAAACCTTTCACAGAATGAACACCTGTTCATTTTAGATGGTAGAAAATGCTATGACAATAATTTGATGCAATAGCATCTTCATATATATATAGATGTTGTTGTAACTTATACTCAGAGTTTCCTAAAGTAGGTTTATATTTGCAGTCTCAGTGACTGTGGCATTTTGTGATCTTACTTTTTTTTTTCCCAAAAATATTTATATTTGTTGTTTGGAATCTTTGTAATTGGAAATATTGGAGCGCTTCTTTTCTCCTGTACTCTGCCTTTCAGTGTGAATTATACCTTCCTTAGCCTTAACTTTTTATGCAGTCTGACCTTTGAGTGTATTCTAAAGACTGAATTTCAGTTACAGTTACCAAGGTAACATGCTATGCTTTCATCAGTTGCAGGATTATGAATCCTCTGCAGGATAAATAAGGAAGAGTAGAAGGATTTTTAAGGAGAGGGGTTTTTTTTATTGTTCTTCTAACTCTAGTCTGGTTTGCCTTGGAGAAATATGTGACAACATATTTCTTTTTACTTTTGCCTTTTCATTTTCCATGAGAGTTGGAATGTGAAAGCCTGTCCTGCATCATTAGAAGTGCCAGTGAAACACAGTTACACAGCCCCTGACATTTCTCCATGTTTGGCTGCTGAATGCGGCTGTTGTTTCCATCTGCTTCTTGTACCATCCCATCAGAGCTCCCACCCAGCTATTCCTTCACTGGCTCTGGGTGATAACTCCCTCATTTGATACATACAGGATCCACCACATTAGCACAAACAATTTGAGTTGCCAGTGTGATTGCACCTGGATTTTGCCTTTAAGTGAATTATGGAATATTAAGCTCTGTGAACTGGCGTTTGATAACCTTCAGCACTGGTAGCAAAGAGCACCTGGGGAATGTTGCTGCATTTCCTAGTTGGAACTAGAGGAAACCTCTGTTCATATTCACATTGATACAGACATATGTGGGTTAGTTTTTCTTAAATTATCTCGTGCCGTTTGGGGACTATATACGTCTAGATTTAAAATTTCTAACTTTCAGTGCCCTGGGGATGGGCACTGCATCCTTTCAGTGCATCCCTTCCAATGCAATGCTGGTAGAAGTGGGAAATAAAGCCATGTTCTAGTGGGAAATAAACCCATGTTCTAGTTTTATTTGCATCTTCAGAAAAGCTTTTATTATAAAATACCGTTTAGTCAGGAAGATGAAAAGTTTTTCTGTGGTCTGTGTCCTTGAGTAGCAGACATAATTTATTTAGATAAATCACATGTGAAAAGCTTTCTCTTCCCTTCCTCTTCCTTACATTTTTCCTTCCTTTTCTTTTAAGCTTGTCTTTGCATTAATTTTACTTATGCCTTTTTTTTTTTCTTTTCCCTCTCACTTCTGTGTCATCATTTTCTTTTTGATAGGATCCTTACCTGGGCTGAATCTAGCCTAGCAATACAAGACAACCCCTTCAGCAGTACTTTGGCTAAAAACAGAAGCTGAAAAATATGTAAGGGAAAGAAAGACGATTTGACTGAATCAACAAACTAAAACAAGATATCAGAATATTTAGTTGCACAGCATTCACAGAACATTCATATGTTTAAGGTGTATTAGATTTTCTTACCTTTGTCTTCTCTTTCTGTTTTCATTGTGGCTAAATGTGCTGAGATACTCATGTATGTATGATTAGATAGTTTTGGGTTTAACTATGAATCCATTTGACAGTGTAGAAAATCTTAGATGATTGCAATGGAATAATAAATCCCAAGAATTCAAAATTTCTGGACATTCAAACTGTGCAAAGTAAACTGCTACTTTAAAGTGAAGGAATGCCAGGAAAACTTAGTCAGGTTTTTATTGTTCCTGTGAGAACTGCTGCAGCATTATGAGCACAAAGCCTCCTCCTTTTCCAAAGAGCTTAGCCCTCAGCTGGAGTTAAACTGAGCTCTGAGAGCTGAGTGGCAAAATAAAGAAATAAGGCACTGACCTTTTTATGGTGG